TGGGCTGGGCCAGACCAGCGATGAGGAGACCCTGAGGGTTAGGAGGTAAGGGGGACTCTATCACTGTAAGCCAGTCAGTCAAGGGAAGGGGCTGTTTTCTGGATGAAGGTGAGCCCTTTGCCTTTCAACACCCCAAGGCTGAAGTATAGGAAAACCACTTTGAAATGTCCATCAGGTATTTAGAAATGCGCACTGAAAGCTCACAAACAAAACAAAGGTCCTGTGAGAACTCACGAGCCCAGAAATGTTCCTGTATCATGTTCTGACCTGGAGATTATGTGTAAAAACCCCGTGGGTCACTTCCTCCAGCAATTCCCAGACCAGGTGAAGGAAGGCTGACTTGATGAGAACTTCTAGGTGCTTCCACCTCCAGATGCCACAGTGATCCACACGTTTCCAATTCCAACCCGGCCCAGAAGCATGCTGCTTGGGGCTGAGGCTGCTCTGAGCTCCTGGAGGCGCCCACTCAGCACACGGACGGACGGGCTGGGATGGGAGAAGAGGCCTGGCATAGGAGTGCAGCCCCTGCCCCCCCAACAGGCAGACAAAAGGATCAGCAAGACAGTGTAACACCTCCTTTGTTTCCAGGAAAAAGGCACTGCCAAAGATAACTTTTTTTTTTTTTTTTACCAGAAGCTGCAACATTCTTCCTTAAGTGAAACAGGCATAAAGGCAAGCAAAATTCCAATAAATGCTGCTTCTGGTTTGGGGCCTCTGCTGATGACTAAGAATTCCGCCTCATGTAAGGGGAAGGCTTGGAGACTCTTGCAACAGCTATCATGCTTATCCACGACACTGGGCACCATGGCATCAGTAATCCTCTCTCTACTCCCAACCTAGTCTGCATGATGACAGAGGAGCCTGTATGATCTGGAGGACTCAGCACCACATCCTCGGTCCCGCACTCAGCACGTGTTTCTGCTGGTACTCAGGCCCCCCTGGAGACAGGAAGCAGCTGCCCATAAATCTTCACTTGGACCACTCCTGTAACACCCACTGTACGACTGTTAGGAGGGTACAGCAGAGAACCTCTATGTGACGAAGGAGATACACCTTAAAAATACATCCATCAACTCATTTGTTCAGGGCCTGCAAATGTGTAGCAGCTTTACGGAAAAAGGAAAAAGTTAATACCTATGATCACCCCCTTCATGACTATTGTAGAGATGAGAATTTGCATCACAATGTTTCAGGAAGTTAAGGTCACAAAAGGAGGCAGTCAGAGCAGTTTCATTTAGGTCTGGGTGGTACACAGAATGCCTGACCCTGAATTGCTTATAGACACTAATGAGGCAGAGGCACAAGAAAACATTTATCTGTCCCATCACAAAATCAAACTCTGTGATCACTGATTAACTTCTCATTTTCTGTACATTTTTTACCATGCTGATATGATAACATTTAACTGAAGAATGATAACATTTAAGTGAATAATCTACATCTGGTTTACTCTCATTGATTGAAAACAAAGTGTGAATGAAAAAGACGGGTGAGACTGGGGACCCACAAGGCTGAGACTGTGGTGGGCAAGGGATGGTCAGTGGAGGCCGAGGCTGGACAACACTTCAGGCCAGGAAGCACATGTGCAGTGCGTCCGCAGCCTTAAGAGTGGTTTATTCAGAAGTGTCTCCCCTGTGAAGGAGTGTTACTCGGTGAACGCTTCCCATCTCTATGATCACTAGCACGTGGAGATGAGTGAAGCTACAAAAAGAAGGAAGAGATACGGGCCAGGTGCTGCTCTTCTGCTTGGTTAAAAGCAGTCACAAGAAGCTAGATTTCACAGCCATCTGAAGCTTTGGCAGAATAAAATTTTTTTAAGTGTTTGAACAGAGTTGGTTAATAAAATGAGGTAAAAGTTTCTCCCAGATATGACAAAATGTATAGCTGAAAATGAAGCCACCCCCAATGAAATATAAAAATCTTTAACAAAAAATAGTTTATTGCACAAAATTCAAGGAATTCCCAAGCACACTTAAATTTATAAAAAAATCAACATGCTTTTTAAAGTTACAATTTGTTGTGCATGGTGACACCTTTCCCTTGAACAGCCCCAACTTTAGGACTCCCTTTTAATGAGGAAATTTTTAACAGACATGAATAACTTAACACCACCGAGTTTTCTAGATCCTCTAAAACATGACCCTCAAGGATCCGATCATAACCTGAGACCACCATACGCTGAGAATCGCCTGGCATGGGAGTGAGTGACTTGTTTGAGTAAGGCTCAAAGTGTCTCACACACCCCTACACTATGCACATCATGGGCCCTTGGGGAGGCTCCGAGACATATCTCTTTCAGATCCGCTGGTCCCTTTCACTACTAGCAGTCTTTACATGACATTTAATTTTTGTTAAAAAAATACTCATAGGATTATATGTCCTGATGACTCTGCAGGCCCATGGCTTTAGCAGTATCCTTAAGACCAAGAAAAGTCTTTAAACTGAGGAAGAGTTTAATGAGAATCTGCCTAACACAGCCTTCCACGGGCTGTCTTCTTCAAGGCCCATCTTGGTACCTGGACCCCAGGCCAGAGAATGAGCCAGTTTCACATCCTACCAAAAACAATGCCTGTTACACCTCCCGAATAGTAGAACAAAGGCATGTAAATCCGTGGCATCTAAGTGATGGGTACCGTGGAAAAATCAATGATAACCACCTTGCGATGAGTTATTTTTGTAACATAAGAAAATCAAGTCATAACATCGTGAAGTGTCCAAGCTGACACGCCCTCTAGTGAGGACACGAGGTACAAGATTAACAACACACACAAATGCAACGTGACGACGAATGTGTTTCTACAAGTACTCCAGACTTGACTGTTGCTTTCCATGAGGAAATTCCTAATTCCCACTTCTGCCCACGGAAGAAGAATATTTCAAATGCTGGGAGGCAGGAGTGCCAGTAAAGTCCCTCAGAGGAAAAAAAAAAGCCTTAACAAACCAAGAGCAGGTGACTTCAGTCCAACTGCCTCCTATGAAGCCTGGACACAAGGGCCCCAGCTCAGGAACTGCAGGACAGACACAACGGCACAAGGGGCACACAGGACGGGCAGGGGGCAGGGGCAGCCAGAGCGCTGGGGCCAGAGGCAGGCCAGGCTGGCACAGCATGGACGAGGCTGCTGCAGGAGCCCCAAGCAGGTGCTGCTGCTGAAACAGGGTGATTCCACAAAGGAAAAGGGGTGAAAGACAGACACTGGTTTTCTCTCGATAGACACACTCAAGATTCGCTCATCATTTCCTAAGGAAGAAGATGCATGATTATTTTCTAGAAGCCCTTAGCAAGGAGCGAGAAAGCAGCTACAAAGTGAGGCTAAGTGACTTCTTGGCTCTAAAATTAAAGGATAATGCAGCCAAAATAAATGAGAACGTAAATTACCATTTTTCTTTTCCAACAAAAACAGTTTTTTCAAAAATGATTTCCAACTTAGAAGGAAAAGTAGAATATATTTATAATGAAGTTTCAAGTATAATTTCCAAGAATAACCCTGTACAAATGATATACGTATTTTAGAAGTTCCAATATTTGCTGGAGAACTTTTTAAAATGCTAAACATCTTTCTGGTTAGTGCTATTTTAACCTTACTGGTTAACCTTCTAACAGCATATTGTGAGAGAATGCAAGCAGCTTAAAAACACCACGCTGTTTTCTCCACAAGAGACCCAGGTGATGAGGTCACATGGGCATGTCTGGCCTGATCAGTAACACCGCAGGCTTCATCTTCAGACCAGTCGCCCTGCATGGGGGGCACACAGACCCACTCTCTCTCTCTTAACCTGGAACAATAAACATTATTTGACATCATCTTAGCAAACTAGTGACAGACTTTCAAACCTTGAGTCTCAGTCATTTCTAGGTGGGACCTCACACACTTGGGGTGTCTGGTTTCCAATAAGGCGTCCCACATGGGAGGCTCCAGAGACCCTCTTGTGCTGACCTGCCCCTTTCAGAAAACTTGCAGCTCTGTAGATGAGAGGGGAAGGCCCTTCTGAAGGCTGTCACACACAGAGGCTGGCAAATCTCTTGATGACCACACAGGTACTGATGGACACTTCCACACAAAGGCAGAGTGGGAGGCCTGGGGAAGCCTTGCTCCCATTTTGGGAGCCTGCAGGCCGCCCTACCTTATTCTCCTCCCCTCCCCTCCTCTCTTCTCCTGAAGCCCCTCCCCACACCTCATGCGTCAGGTCAGCACCTGCTGACCGTGGTGTCTGTGTGGCATCCTGGTGGTCATCAGGCCTGCCCAGGGGTTGGCTGGGGTGAGTGAGGCCATGCAGGACCAGGGCTCGAACAGGTGAGCATTGTGCACTCGTGACAAGGAAAGACCCTCAAAATAAAGTGAAACTAAAATAACAAAGAACTTCTAAGAATATTTGGCTTTGGGAGGTAAATACATTTCTTAAAATATAATTTTCTGACATTCCTAAATCCTACATGTACATTATTTCCTAACAGCAGATTTTCAAAAGGCAATCAATAAAGACAATTCGGATCATTCTTAAATAATATAAGGATATACTTTTTAAAGTTTAGATTATGATTTTCAGTATTTATATACATATCCTATGGAGAGATGGCTTTTGAAATCAAAATAAAATAAAATAAAAACCAAAGGTGCAAATGAAGCCTCACTCCTGCAGGGTAGTAAAACTTACTGAATCAGGCAGGAAAGTGAGAAATCGGACTCAGCTGTGCAACGTCTCTACCAGCGACCGTCCGAGAGCAGCGTCTATGGTCGTGCCTAAGATACCTCCTTCTACACATACACTTCAGACACATCCAAAAATGTCTCACTGAGACCTAAATTAGGTTTTTAAGATTTGGTCACTTCATGGGAAAAGCTGGTTGTGATCTGCAAATGATTATTTTTCAATCCTTGGCTCCTGTTTTGTTATTTTACTCCTTGAAAAGGCAAACTCAAAACTTAAATTTCACCTCTTAGAAAAACATAGAGCACACAGTCAAATAAATAACATTGATGAGAGAACACTCCTCGGGGTAGTTACAAACACTCAGGGTGGGGATGCTCGGCGGTCACTGTTCCAAGCCCTTCTCGCGGGGCCGGGCCCTGACCATGCCGCTCTGTGTCTCCTCTAGGGTTGGCGTGATCTCCCGGCAGTGAGGGGCTGGCAGGGTCCCCCTGAGTCCACGAGGACAGCGACTCATGCACAGTGACTGCGTGTGCCTCCATCTGGCGCTGCAGGCTGTCCATCTCCTGCCTGGGGAGACAGGGGAGGGAAAGGAAGGGACGCGGTCAAAGGAGAGCCAGGGAGGGTGCTGCTGCTCCCCTAGAGACAGCCCATCATCACCTGGGACTCAGCCCTAACGAGCCTCAACTGGACGGCAGGTGCTCACACTCAGGACCCACTGAACTTCTCTACTGGGACCAGCAAACTGATTGGGTCACAGAACAAAAGGGACTCTGGGCATTTTCCTCCGCCCACAGGCCAGGCAGCTCTGCACACACTGGCCGCTGCTTGGGGAGAATGTGGGGAAGACAGAGTTGAGTCTGTCCTTCCTGGCTTCTTCGGGGTCAAAAACAATACCTGCCCACACTCTCCAGACAGGGGCTTCCTGCTGCCTGGCCACTGAGGGTCATTTAGCTCAGGACAGCTCCCACCTTAGAGACAGAGGGAGAGGCATGGGACCCCATGTTCCCCTCCCACCCCCCACCCCCAGAGCTGCTCAGCCTCTGCTGGACATGGGGTGCTGTAACAGGAAAGATTCTTCCAAGTTAAGCAGTTTATCTGCATAGACTAAGCTGCGGAGCCCAGTGTGGGTCGTACTTGAGCTGCTGGAGACAGCTGTTGAGGTTCTTGAGGGGTTCCTTGCTCACGGCGGGTGGGGGCCGCAACAGCTCCTCCAGCAGCGAGGCCGGGACAGGGCAGTCAGGGATCTTCACTGGTGTCACGGGGCTGGAAGAGCTGGCTTCTCCTTTTGGCTCCTTTCTCTGTTTTTCAAAGCACATGGCTAGTTTCCCACTTGGAGGCTTACCCCCCCACCCCTTCCCCAAGGGTCCCTGCCATCACACGGGGGGTTCAGGAAATGTCTGCTGAATAGAAAATCTTCCTAACCATGTAACAAATACTACAGTCCTGTTTCTTCAGGGACATGGACCTGACCGGAGGCCCCCTAATGACAGCTCACAGGTGGGGCTTTCCAGAGAGACCAAGGCCTTGACTCTGAGTTTCCCTGAGAAATTAAGTCAATTTTCCAACTCTAAGACTCCCCTTCCTTGGACTCCCAACTTTTTCCACAGATAACCAAACCATGCTAAATAAACCTCTGAATCTGTGTGAGTTCTTTGCACCAGCTAAGTATTTACATAGGTTGAGGAGAAAAACAAACTGAGTAAACAGATAATTTGAAAGAGCTCATGACAGCAGTTTCAGGGGTTCCTGGGCCCCCGAGCCTGTTCTGGCAGCTGTGTGTCCCAGCTGGGCTCACCTAGAAGGCCCGGGACTCTTGTTAACACAAGCAAACCATGCCCTCATTTGGTCTGTAATGCATATTACAATAAAATGGCATCTGAATTCATAGAAAGAGGCCAACGTTCTGTTAGAAAAAGCACTAAATTAAAAAGATTTGGCCGGTGATCCAAAAAGAATATGCCATCATCATCTCACATGGCAGTAGCCCAACGCTGGTTAACTGTAACTTTATGACTGAATGCCTGCCGACCATCGGCCCACACATCTACCACGGCCTACTGATGGCCCGGGCGGCCTCATACCGTCTTAGCTGCTCCTCGCCGCAGGTCCAGCTTGAGCTGCTGGTTTTGCTGGAGCAGTGTCTTCATGTTGTTCTTCAGTTCTGACACTTTAGCTTGAAGCATAAATTTATCTTTCTGGGTCATGGACAGGTCTTCCCGCACCATCTCCAGCTCAGATTTAATATTCTAAAGAAAGTGGAGTCATAGATTTTCAAAAACTGAAAGATCTTAAGCACCCTGCACAAATCTAGTTTGTATGTCACAATTCTAAGGGGCTGGGACTACTAGCCTGGCTTTGTACACCAAAGATTTCATGTGACACTCCCCTCCCACCAACACTCCTCTCTAGGAGTCTACACTGAAGAGAATCCAGTTACAATTCTGTCCTCAACGTTCCCATGCAAACTTCGGAGCTTCTGTCAAGGAACCAGTAACATTCCCACAACCACATTTGACAATGAACCCAATCCTTGTTTAAATTCCAAGGTCAGCTACTAGAATAAGCTTAACTGTTCCCAGGACAGAAGACAAGGCAATTCTGATGATTACTCAAGCTGTCTATCCACATGTAGGAATCTCAGTCAGAGTCATCCCCCAACCCCCTACCCCGATCCCATCCTCAAGCAGTCAAGAGTATATGTACATAGGCTTCTTCTCAGAGCAGCTCATCACACACTGGTGAATGGCACTCTCATATACTGGACTCAATGAGATCTCGTTCCTGGGACAATTGCACAGCTCAGCCCAGGGGCTCTGGTCTCTGCTCGGTGTCCCTCAGCTGCCTGATCTGGGTTGATTTCTGAAACATGAACGATCTGGTGAGAGGACTCAATCCATCAAAAATGCTTGCTGCGCATGTAGCATGGTGCTTGGCACGGTACTGGGAAGAGCTGGGGGAGTGCTGCTGGGGCCCTGACACGACCTGTACCTGCAACGACTGCTGTATTCCATCCAACTCCTGTTTACTCTGGTGTTCGGTCAAGTCCAGCTGCTGCTTCAAGGACTGGATTTCTCTCTCTTTCTGATCCACCTCCCATTTGAGATTTTCCATCTAGAGACAGAAAAACATCACATGACCCAAAGAATTTTAAAATGGCTTTCTTGCATTATAAAATTGCTGTAACTCTATCTCTTTGTATCATTTAATACACTTAGGAAAAAAAAAATTTCCTTTCCAAGACAGGGAATGAAATGAATGTGTCAAGCAGAGTCTTGTTCTGAAAGCTGCCCAGTGAGTCACCTCTTGGTTTCCTACGGGCTCTTTGCTCAGCTGCTCATCCAGCTGTTTCTGCAGCAGCTGGAGCTGGGTCCGGGCCTCTGCCAGCTCCGCCTGGAATTCTGCTATTTCCTGCGAGTGCTTCCCCTCCTGGATTCTAGCACAAAAAACAAGGAGTAAAATTACACTGTTCTTCCAATGAACTTCCCACTCAAAAACGCTTTCAGTTGACTGTTAGATGTCCTAGGTGACATTCATAAGGACAAAACTCGCATATCGCACCCCCTGGGTGGGGACTGTTCTAGGAGCTGTGAATGCACTCACTCAACTAATGCTCACAACCCCTGGGAGGGCTTCTCCATGAGCGCCCAATCATAGATTACAACGGGAGGGAAAGTGTTGCAGAGTTCAATGCATGTGCACTGCCCAACACATGTGCGCTTACACATGTTTGAGCCGAGGCCCCCCAGTGGGAGCCCACAGTGAGCACCGGTGGTGGGCACAGCCCCCAGGGCTCTCTGTCCTCACAGAAGGACCAGCAAGGCACAGAGTGGGAGCACACAGCATCAGGGCCAAAGTCTCAGTGTTAAGCTGCAGGCATTCTGAGATAGCAATTGGATGCATTTCTCCTCCTTAGATCTACCTCCAGAGATCTGCTCAGCAATTTGCTCGAACATAGGGGACCCTGGTGTTCGAAGGTGCTAACTGGAGATGAGATGGTGGCGGCACCCACTCCCACTTACTGGAGCCCGTCGGCCTCTGCCTGTAGCCTCTGCACCTCCTGCTCCTTGGCCTGCAGCTCCTTCTTCACCTCGCTCAGCTCTAAGGTGGCAGCCTTAAAGTGGCGGCGGTTGTGGCCCGCTTCTGCCTTGGCTGCAGCAACCTAAAACAAAAAACATTAGCATTGTCAAGGACAGAGGCAGAACCTCGCAGCACGTTTGGAGGCAGATGCCCCAACCGCCCACCTCCTAGCTGCTCTTGCAGGCCTTCTTTCCACAGCTTCTCAAGGTGCCTGTCAAGGATGAAAGTACTGAACACGCACTTGGCCTGAAAGCATGCAACATGGCAGCAGCACCTGCTGAGCAAACAGTTAAGTTCAACTTTCTGGGCCTCAGTGGTTCTTACAGTCTTTTTCAAGTGTATCTGCTTATTTCTTGTTACTTTTGTTCATAATTCATGTATTGAGGAAGAATCTACCTTTCCATCAGCCCGTCTAAGTGTAATAATGCTACTTCTCATTTTCCTTTTAGGATGTAACTAGCTTTTTCATGGTTACCAACACTTTATCTCAAGGTTTCAGAGAAGATAAGCAAATTCTCAGAATATAACAACATTTTTCATTTGCCTTTCCAATATTTAAGTTTTCTTGTCTAACTACACTAGCAAGTACTTCATGTAAAAGAAGTTTAATAAAAATATTTACAGTATATGACAAATGAATATAGAAAGAACTCATATATACCTGGAAAAAACTCCAATAGAGGGTATTAGCAGTGGTTGTCACTAGGTAGAGATTCAAGATACTTTAATCTCCACACACACTAAAAATTTTTGCTAGTATGTACTGTTTTTACAATGAGGACTATCAGACCAAATGTACTTGGAAAAATAAATAGGCATCATTTACAATTACTGCCCTTAAAAAAAGAAATCAGAGTCAAATATACATCATCCCCCCAGCACTTCCAGTTAAAAATTGCCTAGTTACAACTTCTTTAAGGTGAGAATAAAACTATTAAGTGATACCTGAGTACAGATCAAAAGACAGGAAGGTGAGGGACAGAAAAGAAGGGAGTGTTGCTGATTCAGTTTAGAACCACCAGATGTGCAGCAACTGCGAGCAAGGATTAAATATGGCAAACGAGATGCATGTGGATCAAGAAGAAGCTAATAATTGATCACATTACAATATTCTTAATGTATCTTAAAACTAGTACTACTTTAAAAGAATGTCTGGGGACTTCCTTGGCAATCCAATGGTTAAGACCCTGTACTTTCAATGCAGGTGGCACGGGTTCAGATCCCTACTTGGGGAACTAGATCCCACATGCTGTGCAGTACAGCAAAAAAATATTTTATAAAATAATAAAAAAATAAATAAAAGAATGTCTTACTGTCTCACTCATGAAATAAAAAAAAACTACTTCCTTCTATCTCTAGTACATTGTCATGGAGAAATGTAAAAAAGTGGCAAAGCCCAGGTGACATGAACCTACACACGCAGGAGTGTGCCCACGACAAACGTGTTCTGCCACTTGTTCTGAGAAGGCCCTGGGGACACGACGGCCAACAAGCCAGACCCTGTCCCAGGATGCTGATGTTCTCATGAGGAAAGAGCTACACAGAAACCACAGACAATGCATCATGATGGTAAAACTTTAAGTCTACAGCCTGAGGTCCACTCTGCTTGTGGGGTGGCCGGGGCAGGCCTGTCTGTGGGTCGAGCCACCTGATGCACTGGTGAACATCTGAGCATGAAAGGTGGCAGCCAGGAAAACTGCTCTAGATGTCGAGAATGGCACGGATCTCCAGAACCACTGTTCTTGGATGCTTCTTCAACACAAATGGGGTCATCATAGACTGTTCTTCAGTTTGCTTTTCAGCTCCACACCACATGCAGTGCATTTTTCCCAGCAAAGACACAGCTGTGGAGCTCTGTGCACACATCTTAGACTCGCACGACTGCTCCTTAGTTTAATCTAAGCCCTTTCTTCCACTGATGAGTACGGAGACTCCCTCCAGGCTCTGTCACCAACCTTATGATGACACCCAGTCCTTGGACCCATTAGCCAAGGTATTCATAGAGAAGTTCCTGGAAGGGAACTGATGGGTCAAGGGTACTAATACTGAGTTTTTAGACATTTACAAGTTACATTCCAAAAGGCGCTGGGAGGTTGCAGTCTGATACCAGCTGGAAGCCACACACCTGCTCCTCGAGGCTGTGCACCATCATCTTTTCCTTCTGTAGTGCGGCCTGCAAGGCCTGGACAAGCTGCTTCATCTGGCGGTCCTCTTCTTCCTTGCGCTGCAAAACTGCCTGCACCTACAGCACATTCCAAGAGGGGTAAGGAAGGAAGGACATCAAATTTGCAAAGCCTGAAGAGCCCTGGGAGAAAGCACAGGCCACTCTGATCAGGGTCATGTGAGGGAATCAAGCATCACGTGGGAGCAAGACATCATGACATGTTATCAACAAAGGTACAAGCCAGGAAAGGAGTGAGATTTCCACTTCTGGAGAACACTGTTTTCAAAACTGAAATCTCATATCACATGAGCACAATCATATGATCATATTCAAACATAGGGTTAGGAGCCCAAAAGATGCATATTTAAATCAGGGGTTATCAATGCAGTTGTCTTCATGGCGAGGCAGGTAACTCAGATGTGGGTACTAGCACACAGGAAAATCTGGAAGCTCTTTAAAGTCTGGATTATTCAAGGCAGGGGCGGGGCGGGGCTGGTAAAAAACCCAGAGGGGCTGCAGAGCTGAGGAACTGACAATGGGGTCTGTAGGGTGACATCCACCAGGGTTCGAACCCCAGTGCTGAATCACAGGAGGCCCTCAGGTCGGAGCTAGTAAAGGGTCTCCTCTGCACCCCCAGAGTCGCCCACCCCCAGGGAACCTTAGGGACTGAGTCTAGTTCCTTTACAGCTCAGCTCCCCTGCTCCACCCCCACCTCAGGACAGGCAGAAGGGCTGAGGCTCCAGCAGATCCTCTGGGCCTCTGTCTCCACGCCTCTACTCTGCAGGTGTCTGTGATGAAGCACAGACGATGCAGCCAAGGCCCTGAGAGTTTGCCTGGCCTGCAGCAGGTCTCCTCCTGCTTTTGGCAAATGAGCTCCAATACCTGAAGGTTCAGCTGAACTAGGTCTGCTTCCCTCTTGGCTAATGCTGTCTCTAAGATGCTGTTGTGCTCCCTCAAGGCTGCATTGGACTGCCCAAGGCCCGTGAGCTTCCCTCTCTCGTGCTCCAGTTCCAAAGCTAGCTTCTTATTTGACTCCTCAAGGCGCTTTATCTTCCTCCTGAAGCCTCTGGACTCTTGAAGCTGAAACAAATCAAAGTTGCTGGTTTGTGGAGACACTGCACTCCAGGCACAGAATGATTAATACCACAATGCAACAACACACAGCTGAGCACCAGATGCAGTAGACCCTCGCTCCACAGCTGGCAAGGCTGCCGTGGCCATGCCTGCTTCTCTCCTAGACCCACAGCCGACAGCCAGTCCTCTCCTGTGGACTTCTGGAGAAGCACATCTAGGTTGGAGCCCAGGTGGGCCCAGAGCTGAGTGTGACAGAGATGACCATGAACTGTGCACGCAGCCTGCAGCTCCCGACAGTCACCTTGGGACTCTGTGCAGAACCCAGGGGACATTACCATGCTGCAGCGTGTGGTATCACCTGAAGCCACAACCATCTCTGAGCGTGAGGGTTACGTGGAGATCTTCCGGGCTGGGTTTCTTATTGGCCACACTGGAGCGAGAGCAGGCACAGCAGGCCTCATTGAACTGCATGTAGGGTGTCCAGCAGTACAGGTGGTCAGACCCAGGGGAGTGGCTGGACAGCCCCCAGAAGCACAGAGTGGAGGCCAAGCACTCAGGCTGGGCTGCGCCCTGATCCTGCACGTGGGGTGGCGCTCGTCCCTGGGCAGTGCAACAGCAGGGCTTCGCCTACCTCATCCTCCAGCTCCAGCACCTTCTCCCGCTGTTCCTCCAGCTCCTGGCCAGTCAGCGAGATGACTTCCTGCAGCTCCCTCTCCAGCATCATCTTGCTGTGGCCGACAGCCTGCAGCTCCGCCTCCAGCGCCTGGACCCGCTCCTGATAGCCGGGACGGAAGGTGCATTCGGTCAGGGTTTCACCAAAGCCCCCCACGTAGCCCAGCTTCCCACCAACGGCGTGAGCCTGCCAACCACATGAGACAAGCAATAGGCTCTCTATAGCCTTCCCTCTACTTCAAGAGATGAAATCAAGTACCAGGTGTCACACAGTAATGACTCATAAACTAACTTTTTCAGTTAATGCTTTGAAAATACAGAAAAGTAACAGCTATAAATTATTGTCTTTGGCAAATAAGTGAGTAGATTAAACAGACAGATACTTTAAAACAAAAAAGAAACTGCAAGTAAGTTCTCCTGATACTGTATAAAGTAAGCATGTGAGAGGGAATACTGAATTTATGTATTTTGGCAAGAGAACACCACACTATGCTACAGTGTCCTCCAACTCAGGATTTCTCAATTTGAGAGACGAGAAAAACAAATATGAGAAAAAAATACAATTAACAAAGCTTAAGTGAAATGACTCAAATCTGTGGGTAATAAATGAAATGCAAATTAACTGAGGCAGAGTTTCATACCTACGAGCGGGTGTGAAGGGAGGTGGTAGGCTCCACATTGCCGGGATCTGGGGAACCAGGGCACTTGTGACTGACAGACTGACAGTGCAGCACCCAAGGGAAACCTGAGAGCCTTCACGTGTGAACATACCCCCTACACACACACACACACACACACAGGACAAGCACGCCTGCCCTGCTGCCCTGTCCTCCATCCTAAAGGCTCTCCCTCAGGACGCTGGAGTAGGAAGAGAGGCTCCAGAGGACTCAGCCCTCGACCCTTGCCGTGTGCACATTCCCTGCTCGTTCTGACCCCAAGCGTTTCATAGCCACTTCCATCCACTATGCTGCACATGTTGTCTGTCCCATGGGCTTGTCTCCAGCACCACCCCCACCCCCATGCCCCTGGGGCTGGCCTCCATGAGGCCTCCCCATCAGCTCCTCCTGTTGCCATCCTGCCACCTCCACTCAGCTCCCAGCACCTCAGGTACCGTTATTACCCCTGCCCACCCCGGCCCTCACCTGGGGCTTTCCGACAGGGCAGTGGTCAGGTCTCAGCCTGCTCTGTCTCACCTAAGAGAAAGTCCGAACTAGCCCTAGAGCCAGAACCCAGCCAGCCGCGTGCCCCCCCAGACCCAGTGCACAGCACAGCCAGCACAGGAGCACCCCTCTGCTGAGATGCCCTTTCACTGAGGAAGAGTTCAGATGTCACCTTTCCCAAAAGTTTTTCTGGACTCCCCAACCCTCACCCTGAACCCTCGCATGCTACACTCGTGCGCTCACAGAACTTCACCTACTTACAGAGCCTCTTCCCCACAATGAGGCAGAGGACTGGAGTGAGCAGGGGGCACTCCACTCGCTTCATCAGGGTCCCTGGTCATTTCATGACCACGAGGTATTTTAGAAAAACACTGCCCACATGCTTGCCCCACACCACTTTTCTAGACCCTCTTAAGAGGGTTTCGGAGGGGAGTTGCCTATAAATGTCATACCCCTACACCAAGTCTCTGCAAGTGGCCGAAGCAAATGAGTTGCTCACATGCAAGGTGAGGTCGCTGCCGCCGGCGGCCGCCTGGGCTCTCAGCTGGCTGAGCTCGGCCTCGGCCGCCTCCTTGGCCGCGAGCGCCTCCTGCAGGCGGCGGCTGAGGATGCCCACCGCGCTCTCGTAGGCCTTGTGCTTGGTCTTCATCTCCTTCTGTGCGCTGGTCAGGTCCGAACCCAGACGCTTCACCTTCTGCTTCTGCTCGGTGATGGCCCTGGGGCGGGCAGACGGAAGGAGGTTTCAGCTCACCTCAACTCACATGCCACACCAAGCAAGCACGAGCACATGTGCATCCAAGCCCCATGCCTCAGGGCTCTGCAGGGAGGCTGTCTCGGCTCCACCCTGTCCAGATCTGCCTCCCGAGGATGTGGTTGGTGGGTGCCCCTGAGGAGCCCAGCACTACATTTCAACTGCCCCGCTCCCCTTTTGGAGCTGTTTAAATGATTTGGTGGAGGCAGAAAGAGTCCTCTCCTACCAAAAAGAAAGGCTTCCAGCGATCCTCCTGATCAGCAAGAAACTCAACATTCAGGCTCACAGTAAAGCAGCGGCTGACCAGAGCAGAGCGCTGTGGGACACGCCTTGGGAGTGGAAGGGCCTGGCGTGGGCTGAGGGGGACCAACACAAGCGTCCACCCTGGGCAGGGAGCTGGGACAGGAAGGGCACTGCAACAAGTTCTTGACACGGAAAAGTAACAAAAACAACAACAGACAGGAGTGTTTGTGAAAGGATATGTTAGCACATCCATGTGTAACTGTCAAGTCTGGACGGAATCACTTTTGCAGCTTTAAATCTGGACTCTGACATCTAGGCCTCCTGAGGTAGACCAGTAAGGACTGGACACAGGGTGCTGGGGTCCCCTGCATGGCTCATAACCCCGCCCGGCCTCCCCCACACGCCCCGCCCGCATACTTCGTGGCTTCTTGCTGCAGCTCTTCTATCTGTTTCTTGAGTACCTCATTGGCCTCCGTCAGAGCAACCATCTGCTCTTTATCAAACTGCAAAGACTTCAAAAAAAGACAGGAAAAGACAAAATGAGGAGCGTCAGGCCCTTGACCCGAAGCCCCAGTATTGGGACCAGCTTCCTCGCGGGTAAATGGCGCCCTCTCAGGGCTGCCTTACAGGACACGGGTTTTAAGGAAGATTTGGACAGAGGGTCCTGAGGTAAGTGACCACTTTAACAAAGGTTAGGAGCACCCTGAGTTGCCTGTGCCAAGGAATGTGGTGGAAACAAGTGAGAAGAACTGGCCAGGGGGAAAACGTCTGGCCTCCACATCCCACCTGGGGGCTGCACTGGACTCCCTGACAGAGCCCCTGGGCCCCTCCCTGGTTTCTCCCAGCATTCTCGGAGTAGCCTTGTGCCCCCTCCTGGCCTCACCCACTGCCCTGTCTCCTCCTGTGCAGTGAGCACCAGCCCCCAGGCCCAGCTCAGCCCTCACAGACCTAGCCCCTCAGTGAGCCCCGTGCTCCCATAGCTCCCAGCCCTCTTGTCCTGCCTGCACCCTCACAGCTCTCAGCTGTGGCCTCCGGCCCACCTGCCCCCCTAGACCTTGCCTGGTCTGCTTGTGGGATTTCTGACACATCACATGTAAGACAAAGCCCTTGGTCTGACTCCCTGCCACTGCTCTCCCCAAATCTACTGTCTGCCTCAGTTTCTCACACTTGACATGCTCCTCAGCTGCAGGAATCTGGCCTGAGGTCTCCCTCTCCCCGTCCCATTCCAGACACCCTCTCTGACACTGCCACCACCATCGGCTCCCGCCTCCACGCTTGCCTCCCCTCGACCACAGGGGCCTTCGGGCATGCACAGCAAATCCGGCTGCACCACACTTAAAACCCAGAGCACAAACCAGTGTATTCCTCACGCACCCTGCCACACGCACAGAACTCTCTGCCATCCAGCAGCTCCCTGGCTTTCTGCTGACTCTTTAGCTCTCAGACGCTGGTTCCAGGCCTGTCTCAGTAGCTCCCTCACAGCTGTATCTCTGCCTGGACCACCCCTCCCAGCCCCCCAGCATCTGAGCTCCAGGAGGACTTTTTCCAGGCTACTTTTCTAAAAACCTGTCCACGTGTCCCTGCCCACCCACCACACAGACCCAGGCACGTTCAGCTAACCCTCACACGTCAAAGACGCCCCAAACCTGTAACTGCGTCTCCATCTCATCACATTCCCTCTGTGCGGACTGCAGGTGCCCTTCGAGATCCACCACCTGCTGCCGGACCTGCGACATCTCCTTCTGCAGGCGTGAGTGCTCCACCTCCACGGACTTCTTCTCCCCTTGAAGTTTCATCAACTCCTGCCGCAACTCCTTCACCTCCGAGTCCAGCCTCTTCTTTGTGGCCTTCAGCTCGCTGATGAGCTGGTCTTTGGAGGTGGCATCGCGGCGGTAGGCCTCCACCATCACCTGCCCAATGAGACAGAAGCTGCAGCCAGGGGGGTGGGGCTTCCAAACGGTGGAATGGCGTAAACAAGAACACTCACTGCTTACATCTACAACACTTTTGGGGAGCTAAAGATAACGTATTTCACAAAATGCAAGATACCACCCACTGAGACGTCACAATTTTACACTCCTCAACAGGTCTGGGTGAGTCACATAGCAATTACGCCAGCCACTGGGGGTCCTGACCATGTCACCTTCTTGGGGGAATGTGGCCATTCCTTCTCCCTCTACTTGCTCTGCCTGACTTCTTAAGGCACCCTCGCTTGCATCTCAGTGATAAAATCCCCCACCACTTATAACATTCTCAGTCACTCTTCCTCAGACCCTTGGTGACACTCTGTGTTCATTCCTCCAGAGCAGAACTGGCTTTACTAATGTATAACACCTTATTTCAATGCTAGACTGTGGTGTGACTGTTATCAGACACGCTGAACAGGACGCTTGGGGCTCTGTGGAAGCAACATGTGCTCATGCTACGTGATGGTAGGGTACACGATCTGTGAGATACAGATGCCAAGCCCACCCTGAAAATGCACCTGACTTCAGAGATATAAAAATGGGAGGGGTGAGATGCGTGTTTTAGAGTCAGTGAAGTGCCTTAAAAAACCTGGAGCCAAGATGTTACAGTCCTCTTGAGTGATTTCTTTCCAGTGAAAAGATTAAACATATAGGATTTTCTTCACGCACTTGTTTCATGGCAAGAAAACTAACCACGCGTTCTTACCTTTTGTTGAAGAAACTGTTCCTTTATTTTCTGTGTCTGCTTTTTCAGAGCGCCAGCTTCCTGCTGCAGGTGCTCCACCTGAGGGACACGAGGGCAGATGTTACACTGATGGCTCCAGGAGGGCCCTGTGTCTCAGGGAGACACATGTGCACAGAGGCATCAACAACTTGCCTCCAAGCATCCTGTCCTAGAAGGTAACAGTCAACCAGTGTCTGCACAAAAAGTGCACCTACTCCCTGGAGAGAAAACATGTCACTGACTTCCTTTTGATGCTCATCAAACAGGATTTGAAGACAACATTGTTCCCGACATTAATTCTGCTTCCTCCACACCCTACAGCTTTCTTGTTTGGTATTTGTTTACTGGTTGCTTGCATCACAGCATGGCAGCTCCCAGGTGTGGGACCGTCAGGCCATCTCCCCACCCTCGCCCACTCTTGTCGATGTGTCCTGGAGGTCACACTAAAGTCAAGCAGCCAGGAAGGAAAAAAAATCAAAGTTCTATGTGGCTTTTCCCAAGTCTGAGCTCCTCATTGTAGATAGACTGAAACCAGCATTTCTTGGCAGATTACTTTCAAAGCCTCCAACAACTCAGTTTTCTAGATCTCAGCCATCTCCACACCCAGCCGCTGACCCAGGACTGGAAGCACCACACTAGAGGCTATAGACCCTTTCCCCACTGAGCCCTGGACCCTGCCCTGCAAGTGTTCCTCCATGTTTACAAAGCACGGTGTTCCAAAACAGGACCAAACAAATAAAACGAATGGCCAGACAATGAGCATTACTTCTCATATGCATGATTTCCATTCATAACAAACTGACAACAAACTGCGTTACCTGGCTGGACTTGATGGCTAATTCTTGTCTCAACTGCTCTAAAGTGTCCGACGTGTCCTGGGCTCCTTCTTCCAGGCGCTTCACCCCTCTATCGAATTCCTCCCTGCTGCTCTGGGCTGCCTGCAGAGCCACCTCCAAGACGATCTTCTCGTTCTGCAGGGCCTGGATGGCGTCTTCTCTGGAGGCAGCCTCCCCCTGCAGCTCGTCCAGCCTGGCCTGCAGCTCATCATAGCGCACCTGCAGGTCCCCAAGGGACTGCTCCCTGGTCTGCAGAGTCTCCTGCGTTGAGGTGAACTGCTTCAACAGGTCCAGGTGCTCCTGCTGCAAAGCCTCCAGCTGCTGGTCTCGCTGATGTAAAGTCAACCTCACCTGAAAAGGAACCAAAGTCAATGTGACTGCTCTTGAGCACACAAAAACACTGTGTGCTCCAAGAGTTTACTTTTTCTGTGCTCAGGTTTTAAACAATCTGGATGGATGCTCTGGAGGCAGCCTTCTGTGTAAAGAACATGAGTAGAAGATGGACAGACCAGCACAAATGAGCACCGTGAGGCCGGCCGTGGCACCGGGGCAGTGACGAGAGCCCCAGCGGGTGCTTGCCTGCTCCAGTTGCTGCTCCAGCACCGCTGCCGAGGCCACCATCTTTTGCAGCTGCTCCTTCTCATCTTCAAACTCCTCCAGCCTCCTCTGCAGGTCCTCCTCCACCATCGTCTTTGCCTCTTGAATCTGCACAAAGGCAGCTTCCTGGTCCAACATGTCAGCCTGGGCCCAGAAGAAAGAGCATTTCTTAAAAAGAAGGACTTGGACTTCCCTGGTGGTCCAGTAGTAAAGAATCCGCCTGCGAATGTAGGGGACATAGGTTTGATCTCTGGGCTGGGAAGATTCCATATGCCTCAGAGCAGCTGAGCCCGTGTGCCACAACTACTGAGGCTGTGCTCTAAAGTCCAGGAACTGCAACTACTGAAGCCAGTGCACCCCAGGGCCCGTGCCTCACAACAAGAGAAGCCACGGCAACGAGAAGGTAGTGAACTGCAACAAAGAGCAGCCCCCACTTCCCACAACTAGAGAAAGCCTACATGTACCAAGGAAAACCCAGCACGGTCAAAATAAAGAAGTATTTTTTAAAAAGCAAGATAACCTGATGGCTACAGATTCAGCAGACAAACCAACCACCCTGGAGAGAAGCCCTGGTCTCCATCACCAACCTGTCCATGACCCACAGACAGAGAGCCCAAAGGTGACAAGAGGGCAGAAAGCTGGTGCCCTCCCACTGCCCACGAGACAGGCTAGCTGTTTACTCCTCTACCTACGATTCCCCTGCTGCCTCTTGCCCTGACCCGGCTGAAGAGAGAAGCAAGCAGTCCACCCGGTTTTAAGAACTAGGATAAAGTGATGAATAAAACCGCCACGATGACCACTTATATGAAGACAGGCTGTACAGCACGTCCCCACTTTGGGGTGTGATACATGGCACACTTTCTTCCACAAGATTATTTCCTGATGCCACTTGGTAAAACTAGAGATCAGGGCCAATGAGGCAAATAGGGCATTCATCATGACTATGCAGATGAGACTGCACACCTGGGTGTTTTCTTAGGGAAAAAAACATGAGCTTATAACTTAAAATCTTCTCAGTTCTTTGACATTGAGCCCTTGAAACATATGTTTGACAATACATGACTCTCTTTTAACATCCACATCATCTGTGAGGACAAAGGAGCACGTGGGGAGACAGGGACCACCCTTGTCACAGGATGCCAACCTTCCACATGCTCCTAAAAGACCACTGATGTTCTCGGCATAAAACTGCCCTGAATACATAACCGAGATGCCGTAGACCCTTGCTCTCCTTTACTTTTCCAACAAGCCTCTTAAGCAGGTATTATTATCCATATTTAATATAAAAAGAACAAAACCCAGAGAGATTAAGATATTAAGTCCAGGGCCTCAGAGCTGACAAAGAGCATAGTTCAAAGCCTCTGCACCTCCTTCCCCGGGAATAACCCATGGAGATGTCTGAACATGGTCCTAACTACTCCTCGTGGCTGCTGGAGGGTGAAATGTTAATGCAGGCTAAGGGCTGAACTAGGCTGGCCTGCATGGTGGCTCTGAGAAGGGCCACAGGTTACCACTAACAACTCAAGAGACAAGAGACAGATGGGCATAGAGCGAACATGAGGGACAGAATCCCAAAACCTTAGATCACTGCAGATGGTTCAAAAAGGACATTTTAAAAGATATACGGACATACATACATATATAGTACTAATGTTTACATATGTGTGTGTGTATTGTTTTATTTTCTTGATCAACATAAAGGAAAAATACCCAAACCCCAAGACAACACTGACCCAGAAGCAGCTTGGCCCACCTCAATGCCCTGGAGCTGGGCGGCAATGCGCTCCTTCTCCTTGATGGACCTCTGCTGGGTTTCCGTCAGCTGGTGGGACAGGGACACGTTCTCAAGCTTCAGGTGCTCCAGAAGGCCCGCCTGGCTCATCTGTCCAACCTTCAAAGAAAAACAACACAAAGTTTCAGGTTGCTAGATTCCAAACACAAGCCCAGCCTAGTCCGGCCCCTCACTCTGGTGGCCTCAGGGTCTCTGCACAGTGCTGGCACCCAGGAGGGCTGTTCCCCAGGGCCCCTCCATGCAGGGCCTCACTGCTGGCAGCCACTGTGACCCTTGGGCTATCCGGCTTCTGTGTGCTTTAAGAGGGGCTAGCCGGCAGCCCAGACTCAGTGCTCATCACCCCATGATGGTGCAGTCTGTTGCAAGACCTGCACAACTGTTTCCACAGAAGGTGCATCCCTGAGCCCCTCAGGTGAGAGGCCTCATTGTGGCGGCAGGGACAGCCAGGAATCTACTCATCAAATGAACTGATCTATGGGGAGACACATCTTGGGCCCTGCCCTCTCAATGTCTGACTACCCTGGACATATCAGGCTGACCCTGGCCATTCCTAGGAAGAGGCACTGGCTATCCACTGTGTCTGATCCAGACCTTCAAGCACATCCCTTCCAGAGCCAACGTGAACACTCCAAGACTTGTAAGGTGCCAGGTGCGGCCAGACATTGTGAGCTTCAGGGTCTAAAATGGAAGGTGCCCAAAGCAAGGGAAAGCATCATTCGCCGGGATTTTATTTCAAGGTAACAAAAGAATAAAGACCACCCTGCATTCTCCTCTCACCTGAGCATTCCTGGGACACATCTATGCTACTGGGAAAAGAGGGCAAAAACTTATTACACACCCTAATTAAGGAATACTGAACTTGGGTGCCAAAGGTATTTGAATAAAGCAGCTATGCTTCTCAAACTGCCATTCCCTTGGAATCTTCCCTTTTTTGTCTTCCAAATGCCATTTCTGACTTATGTTAGGACACATAAATCTGGCTTTCAAAAATTTTTTTATGCATCAAAAAATCCACAATAGCTTCAAAATTGCATTGATTTGCAATGATTTATTTCCACCTACATTGTACGTAAACAAATGCTTATCTATATGGTCCTCTTTTCAACAGCACATATTGAATCACATTCTGTGCTACTGTTTTATAATTGTTCTCATTTAGCAATATATTGTGATAACTTTTTCTGATTAAAAATTAATTTTTGTGTTAGAAAACTTATGAAAATAAAAATGACCCGAAAGGGTACTGCCAAAAAAACATAAATTTTAAAAAACTGATTTTATATTTGTAGATTACAGATTTTTTTAAAAAGGAGTTTTTGGAGGAGTTAAGTACTGCATATCCTCCACATAAGAAATAGTTTCAATGTTTTAAATATTTTAACAAGTTAAATTACAATATTTAATCTGGACCCCCCCAAAAAAAGGGAGGCTATAAAACCCACAGCAAAATTCAAAGAGAAGACAGGCTGACCAAGGCACCATCTGCACCTTCACAATTGGTCCAAACCCTGAGATTTGGGGCAAAGTGTATTATAGCAATTTGCTACTACTCCCGAGTGCGTCCAGAGCACCTTGCAGACCTTGACCCACACCTGCTCCCACTGACGCAGAATCAGGGGCCAACATGCTTGCACCCTAACAACATGGAAAGACAGAGTGGGAAGTGTTTCCTCTGGGGTCCGGGAAATGAATGTTTTCTGGAAGGATCTGGTGACCACGCAGCTGGAGGGAGGAGCAGCTCTGCTGGGAAGCAGCGTGTACCGTGTTCTCTGCACATGAGAAACACGAGACAGGAGGTGGTGACAGGCAAGAGCGCCAGGGTATAAGAGGTCCAGGACCCCAGCAGGCATGGATTTGACAGCTGGGTTCAGACACCAGGCACGCCCACAGAGAGGGGATGGGATGGACTAGTCAGAGCCAGGAACACAGGACGTCCCAGAAAGGGGGACTTTAGAATTTAAAATGTTCTAGCAGAAGCTGTGTCAGAAGATCACAGAAGGCAGTGACTACACGTCATGGGGTGTGAGCTAGATGGGTGGTCAACAGATTTTAACAAAACCTCTCTGTAAAATATAAACTCAGAAGTGTTTTCAATATGGAGAAAAAGCAAGTGTTCCACGTGAGTCAAGCAGTGTGGCCCTCTGGCCATGGTGGGGGCCGTACCTGGATGTGGGCCATCTCGCCCTGCAGCCTGACCCGGGCCTCCTGGGCCAGGGCGAGCTGCTGCTGGTACCACTGCCGGACACTCTGCAGGGACGCGATCTCGGCCTGGGACGCCTTCAGCTTGCTGGTGAGTGTGGCGCGCTCCAGCTGCACCTGCTGTAGCTGGCTCTGCAAGGCTGTCATCTGCTGCCGCAGGTCATGCACTGAAATAGGCAAGCACAGTACTCAGGCCGCTGCACGGCCTGGGAAGCCCGGCCTTCGCAGAGAGCGGGGACCCGCTGGTTCTCCTCTTCAGCATCGACGTCTTAAGCGCAAGCGAGGGCACTTAACCCTGGAGCAGGGCCATCCAGGTTGGGGTCTGGTCACTTCTCATCAACTAATAACACAAAACCTTGTTTTACATGGGCTTCTGTTGAAAGACAACTGACTTCACTTTCTGTGGATTCATTAACACTGAACTGACAGCCGACAGCACCTAACCTCTGCCTGGATGAAGCTTGTCTAACATAAGGATTTTCTCTGAAAAGCGCACCAAAACCATCCTGCACTTAGGAACACCAGACAGTGTTGGGGTTTATTGTAAATAGCAAAACCACCCCCAAAAGCACAAAAATGAAAAAACAAACAAACAAAAAATGGCACTAAATCGACCACAAAAGGGCACTTGGGGAACAAGAAGTTAACTGGGGAAACTGAGCCTTGTACATCAGGCAACCCCCATGGTTCTCTGCTCTGCACCTGTCTGTAAACAGCTGGAAAGAGCTCTGAGTAGATTAAATTCAGTGAGTTGGTGAATTCACAACTAGGGAATGTGCAAACAGGGAGAGCGACTGTGTGTCTGGGAGCTTTCTGGCTTGAGACTTTGGCCTGATAAAGTCTGTGAGTCATCAACAAACTCAGGAACGGTATCCACAAGAAACTCCACTGGTTTGCTGATATGGTCAACTCTTAACATGGATGATGGCAGGGAGAGCAGACAGGAAATCACAGCACAAACCCAAGTCATAGTCCAAACAAAACCAGTCAAATATTTAAAAAATAAACTTCACCAAAGATTTAAGAAAAAACTTACAATTTTAAATTCTAAAAATTTAAAATGAAACAAAAATAATGACAGGACTCGACCCCTAACCTTGGGAAATCCAACCTCTGCTCTTGAAATCCTTGGGAACGGATGTGCCTCAAAGTTCAGCATGGCAGGGCTTTAGGAAGGCAACTGGAGCACTCCCCCTGCACCCCAAATCTCCCACCCAGCTGGTGCTGCACTGGGTGCAGGTCACTGTTGACCTGCTCTGGTCAGGCCAGACCTTGCAACCCGAGCAATACAAAACTTTTTGAACATTATATTAATAATTTTCTTAAGGGATTGGGTATCAGAAAATGTCCAGAAACTAAAAACAGTCGGCTGTTATATTTCTCAGCTGGTGTTCCCCACCTCTCCCCTGCTCCCCCAGTATCAGGATAAAGCTCTTGTGACAGCAGTTTGTCACTCTTTATGTTATCAGATCTGAAACCTAGTCTCACAAGGCTTACGACCAAGACTCCACGTGGGCAGACTTGGTCCCTCACAGCCACCCCGCTGCACCACTCCCCATCCTTAGGCTCCCAGAGCTCAAGGATGAGGGTGTCATCTATCCAGGCTTCTGGAGGACCAGGATCTGGCCTGACATGCCCCTGGGCTCTGAGTGACCTTCTCTGCATCCCCAACCCCTCACCCTTCTCCTGCCTGCAGTGCACAGGGAGATGTTGAGCCCACAGACCAGGTTCTTGGTGCCTGGACGTGTGTGGCTCATGGACTCTGGGAATGCAGTGTGTGTCCCCAGGATGAGCAGAGAGCACGAGGGAAGGATCCCACAAGTCCTTCACTTACCACTAGGCTCCCCAACTCCACTGTTTCATTTGTCTGTCATTCCAAAGGGGGCTCGCCTAGGGACCCAGCTAGACCCAAAATCTGAACTTACGGAGGAAAAAGAAATATTTACTAGTCACTGGTCTCAGTGTTGCTTTTAAATATTCCAAACAGCATCCGCAATGCTGGAATAAGCAGGCAGATCTAGCCCCCTCAAGCAACAAACGACTGAGGAGGCAGAATGAGTGGAAACAATTACATCTAACCATCAAGGGTCCAAAGTCCATTTCTAAGACCTAAGCCACCCCTTGATGCACATGCAAAAACATGCAGAAGTCCACAAGTTCAACCAAAGATAACACTCCATTAGGCAAGTGGACACTTCATGTACAAATTAGAAGGGACAATAACCCCTCAGCACATTGATGTGACAGTAAGTCAGTCCCCAGAGCAGACAGGGGGAAGGGGATGACAGAGGATGAGATAGTTGGATGGCATCACCAACTCAATGGACATGAATGTGAGCAAGCTCTGGGAGATGAAGGACAGGGAAGCCTGGCGTGCTACAGTCCATGGGGTCACAAAGAGTCAGACACGACTGAGCAACTTAACAACAACCAGAGCAGATGAGACGAAACCTCCAGTGGCATAGCCCCTGGGCACCTGCATATAACTAAGGGGCAAACGCGGGACCGCTCACCTGTGTTGTCCTTACTGAGGATGCTTCTCTGCATCTCCTCCACTTTGGCCATTAGTCTCTGGTATTGCTCCTCTGCCACCCGCAGGTCACTGTTAGAGGATGCCAGGCTGGCATTTTTGGCTTCCAGCATGCTCTGCAGGTCAGTCATTGCTTGCTCGAGGTCCCAGCAGGACTGCTTCAAGGTGTCCACCTCTGAGCTGAGCGAGTCTTGCCTCTGCTGGCTGCTGTGGCTGTGCTCCAGCTGTGCCTGCAGCCTTGTGTGCAGAGCGGCCAGCTGCGCCTGCAGCTCGGCCTTTTCTTTAAGTGCCTGGAGAGACCCACAAACAGCCACACTGACTCTCGGAAAAATAAGTCGCTTCCGCCCTGCCTAATAAGACGGCTGCCAAAACTCAGCTAGTGAGACAAAGAAAGGTGTCCAACAGGTGGCCTTTACAGGAAAGCACCACATTGTACAAAATATTCAGGAACTCCAGCATTACAGCTATCCCCAAAGAAGGGGTTTCTCAAACCAGGCCCAGCAGGCAGGTAGGTGGGATGAAGACAGAATGTGCTCATTTTCTGCATGGCAGCACCTGAGCAGGCCAGCATGGGGGGAAGGCTCCGCGATCACCTTCTCACCCACAAGGATATTGGAAAACATGTTTGTTCAAAAAAGAAGAAAGCACACAAGCATATGTACACACACACACACACACGCGCGCGCGCGCACACACACACACACACACACACTCACAGAATACCTGAGAGCTGAGGGATCTCTAATAGATGAAGAGCAGCCAGATTCAACTTTGGGAAAAACCAAACCCACAGAACACATCAGCCCGGAAAGGGCACCATTACATGAGACCTTGAGGGCTGTAGGCAGGGGCACAGAGCAGCCTGAGGCACCATCTGTGCTAGGTGGCAGGACCACAGGGACCCCTGTCTGATGGACACGGCAGGAAGTGACAGGAAAGGTGGGGCCAGCAGAAGGTCCAGGCGCCTGGAGCACCAGAGAAGAGACAGGGAGCAAAGGGCACAGTCCCTGCCCATCGGCATCTCTCACCCACCCTAAAGTCAGCCTATCAGGACGTGCATGTACAACAATTTCAAAATGCAAAAAGGAGCAGACAGCTGTACACCAACATACAATATGAGAAAAACAACCTTGCCAAGACAAACAACAGATACAACAAACAGAAGAACAAATACCCAAAGAAAAGCTAACTAAGTAGATGCAGTAAGATTTTGTAGTAAAAGTATCATTAGTGTCTTCACAGAAATGCCAGCAAGTTTTGCACCCCTAACAATCCACAAAGATCTTGGCTTGGACACAGCCGAAGAGCAAATCAAATTCCAGAAGGATCAGTTCAGTTCAGTCGCTCAGTTGTGTCCAACTCTTTGTGACCCATGGACTATGGCACATGAGGCTTCCCTGTCCATCACCAACTTCCAGAGATTGCTCAAACTCATGTCCATTGAGTCGGTGATGCCATCCAACCATCTCATTCATCCTCTGTCGTCCCCTTCTCCTCCTGCCTTCAATCTTTCCTAGCGTAAGGGTCTTACCCAGTGAGTCAGTTATTCACATCAGGTGGCCAAAATACTGGAGCTTCAGCTTCTGCATCAGTCCTTCCAATGAATATTCAGGACTGATCTCCTTTAGGATGGGTTGGTTTGATCTCCTTGTAGTCCAAGGTCCTCTCAAGAGTCTTCAACACAACAGTTCAAAAGCATCAATTCTTTAGCACTCAGCTTTCTTTATAGTCCAACTCTCACATCCATACAGGACTACTGGAAAAACCATAGCTTTGACTAGATGGACCTTTGTTGGTAAATTAACGCCTCTGCTTTTTAATATACTGTCTAGGTTGGTCACAGCTTTTCTTCCAAGGAGCAAGTGTCTTTTAATTTCATGGCTGCAGTCACCATCTGCAGTGATCTGTGAGTCCAAGAAAACAAAGTCTATCACTGTTACCATTGTTTTCCCATCTATTTGACATGACGTGATGGGACCGGATGCCATGATCTTCATTTTTTGAATGTTAAGGTTTAAGGCAGCTTTTTCACTCTCCTCTTTCACTTTCATCAAGAGGCTCTTTAGTTCCTCTTCACTTTCTGCCATAAGGGTGGTGTCATCTGCATATTTGAGGTTACTGATATTTCTCCTGGCAATCTTGATTTCAGCTTGTGCTTCATCCAGCCCGCATTTTGCATGATGTACTCTGCATATAAGTTAAATAAAGAGGGTGACAATATACAGCCTTCAAGTACTCCTTTCCCAATTTGGAACCAGTCAATTGTTCCATGTCCAGTTCTAACTGATGCTTCTTAACCTGTGTACAGATTTCTCAGGAGGCAGGTAAGGTGGTCTGGTATTCATTCCCATCTCTTGAAGAATTTTCCACAGTTTGTTGTGATCTACAGTCAAAGGCTTTGGCACAGTCAATAAAGCAGAAATAGATGTTTTTCTGGAACTCTCTTGCTTTTTCGATGATCCAACAGATGTTGACAATTTGATCTCTGGCTCATCTGCCTTTTCTAAATCCAGCTTGAACATATGGAAGTTCTCAATTCATGTACTGGTGAAGACTCACTTGGAGAATTTTGAGCATTACTTTGCTAGCATGTGAGATGAGTGTAATTGTGTGGTCGTTTGAACATTCTTTTGCATTGCTTTTCTTTGAGATTGGAATGAAAACTGACCTTTTCCAGTCCTGTGACCACTGCTGAGTTTTCCATATTTGCTGGCATATTGAGTGCAGCACTTTCACACCATCATCTTTAGGATTTGAAATAGCTCAACTGGAATTCCATCACCTCCACTAGCTTTGTTCATAGTGATGCTTCCTAAGGCCCACTTGACATCACTTTCCAGGATGTCTGACTCCAGGTGAGTGTCACACCATCATGGTTATCTGGGTCATAAAGATCTTTCTAATTTTCTTGAAGAGACCTCTAGTCTTTCCCATTCTATTGTTTTCCTCTATTTCTTTGCATTGATCATTTAGGAAGGCCTTCTTATCTCTCCTTGCTATTCTTTGGAAGTCTGCATTCAAATGGGTGTATCTTTCCTTTTCTCCTTTGCCTTTAGCTTCTCTTTTCTCAGCTATGTGTAAGGCTTCCTCAGACAGAAATTTTGCCTTTTTGCATTTCTTTTTCTTGGGGATGCCCTTCATCACTGCTTCCTGTACAATGTCTCAAATCTCCATCCATAGCTCTTCAGGCACTCTGTCTACTTGTCACTTGAATCTATTTGTCACTTCCACTGTATAATCATGAGGGATTTGATTTAGGTCATACCTGAATGGTCTAGTGGTTTTCCCTTTCTTCAATTTAAGACTAAATTTTGCAATAAGGACCGAGCCACAGTCAGCTCCTAGTCTTGTTTTTGCTGACTATATAGAGTTTCTCCATCCTTGGCTGCAAAGAACATAATCAATCTGATTTTGATATTGACCATCTGGTGATGTCCATGTGTAGAGTCTTGTGTTGTTGAAAGAGGGTGTTTGCTATGACAAATGTGTTCTCTTGGCAAAACTCTGTTAGCCTTTGCCCTGCTTAATTTTGTACTCCAAGGCCAAACTTGCCTGTTACTCCAGGTATCACTTATGTTCCACAGGAGGACAAAGTGAAAACCGTTTACAACCAAAAGGAACCTTGAAACCTCGGTAATCACCTCTTCAGTCTGGAGTTTATGCAGCAGAGCAAGCATTCTAGTGTGGGTGCCCTCCCCACATCCCCACAGCACAGGTTACTGAGGAGACAGCCCCCACCCCCTACCCCACTGCCTTGACCAGATACCTCCCCAGGCCCTTGCCGTCTCCCTACCAAGTGCAGAGAGTCAAAGGCAGCTGAACTGATTTACTCTGATTGTTGATAGGAATGCTGAAAATTAAGGGATGGAAAATGATTTTTCAGGCATATGCTAACCAGATAAAGCAAAATTCATATCAGAAAAAGCAAAAACTACTAAAGGGACAAAGATGACAATTTCACTGGGCCAGAAAAAAGTGAAATCCACTCCAAAGATTGAACTGTTATGGACTGTTGGGTCTCTAATAGCAGATCTAGGAGGTATCCAAGGCAGATCCTGACAGAGATACAGGGAGAAATCCCACAGTCAGAGTGGGAAACTAGCATACTTCTTTCCAAAGCTGACAAATAGAAAAGAGAAAAATAAATGGCTACAGAGGACAAGGCTGCTAATGATGATAAAGCTTCTTCTTAAAGACATGTGTAAAACTTGGTGTGTAGTGAACAGGAAATTGCACATTCTTTCCAAAGACATGGCACATTAATACATCCATCAAATTTCAATTACCTGACTAGCTTCTAATGATAAAGCTTCCAGCTGTCCTTCGAGTCTCATTTTTTCTTTAAGAACCTGCAACATTTCATCATGAGTTTCAGCAACAGAACTTTCCATGGACACACTAGAGGACAAAGACAAAAGGATCAGGTGTTGGGAATATAACTGATCATTATCTTCCTTTATGCTGTCCATACACTCCAGATTTCACACCCCTCTGGCTACTCTCCCCTAATTAAAAAAACTTATTTTTCCTTGTGGTACAGGCTTCTCTCTAGTTGCAGCACTTGGGCTTAGCTGCCCCGAGGCATATGTGACCTTAGTTCCCTGCCAGGGATCAAACCTGTATCCCCTGCTTTGGAAGATGAATTCTTAACCATCTTTTCTAATTTTTAAAAATTAGGTCAAGTCCTTAGGTTTAAGCCCTTTCCCTAGTTTTTTTTAAAAACAGATAAATAAAAAGATTTAGGCAGACAGTTAAAGCTCAAACTCTTGCTGCCTTTACAGCCAGCACAGGGCCAGAACACCTTTATGGAGACATGAGTCCATGTCACATCAATGCAACAAATCCTGGAAAGCAGATACCTTAACATTGCAAGTGAGCACTCATCAGACCCAGTTCCTTTTCTAACAAAGCAACAGAGAGCGTATAAATGAAATGTTAAGGACTGAGTGTGGAACTCTGAGGGGAAGCTGGTGTCTCGTGGGCTCCAGCGTCACCCACCTGCTGCAAATGCTATTGGTCCGGCTCCGCGTCTCCCCGTTGACCTCCTGCCTCTGCTCTTGGTGCTCGGCTGCTGCAGCCTGCAGGACATCTGAGATGGAGGGGAACTGGCCCAGGGCTCCAACAGCGATCTCCCTGCCGCTGACCACATAGGGGGCCTCACGCGCACCCCCCATGTTTGCTGGGATGCCTGGTATCCCGCGGGTGGAGATGCTGCTGTAGGAGGAGCTATCGCTCTCCGTTCCGTCAGCCTCGGACACGTTGTCTCCAGTCAGGGATGCATTCTCCAGGCGGTCGTCGGCCTCGGGGCACAGGCTGACCTCAGACACCACTGATGTCCCGCTGCCTCGGTTCTGCTTCAGGGAGCCCCTGGTAGAGTCCGGAGCTGGAACATTTCCACCAGAATTCCGAACATCTGAATCTTCAGTTCTGTAATCAGCCAGAGACCGAATTTTGCTTGATTTGGAACTTTTTTTCTCCTTAGGATGTGCCAGGAGCCCTAAGCTGCCCACCTTCGGCCCCCGGGGGACACTGGTGCGCAGGAAGGAATATTCTTTTGTCATAGCCACGGCACTGGCCCGCGGTAAGGTTTCTGGGTTCAACATGAGTTCAGGATCAAGTGTGCTAAAAAGTCTCGTTTTAGTTACAGGTTGACTGGACTGAGGAGGAAAAAAAAGTACAAAAATTATGTTTAAAATTGACAAGCAGCATTCAAAAATCGCCACCCAGAAAGGCCATACCGATTACATAAACAGAGCGCCCTCCCGCCATGCTCCCATGTCACGGGCGTTTCATTCTTAACTTCACTCCTCCATGTCCATCCCAGGGAAGGTCCAAGCACAGGCCTGTCATGACTGTGACCTGATGACATCTTAGAACACCTATTAGAGCAAGTCCTTCCTCATCACAAAATTTCACAAAATTTCCCTGCCTATTCTCTCATTTATTCTTTTAGATAAACTCTGAAATTTTTCTTCAAGTTAAAATATTAGTCCTGTTGAATTAGAATTACCATAAACTTATAATTACTTACGGGATAATGAGCAGTTTTTCTCCATTTATTCATATCTATTTGCAAGATCCTCAACAGAGAAACTTATGTAGTGTTTTATCTAGATTCTAAACCACTTTTGTCGCCATTTTGATAGTTAGAAAATATTTTGTTGATACTGTAAATATTATTTTTTCGCTCTAATTTTATAACTGGTCATACTAGGATAACTATTTTTCATATCTGTATTTTAAACTGACAATTTCTGAACCCCAATTATTTTATAGTATTTTTATAAATTTATAATAATAGCAATTTTCAGTTGATTCGCCAGCATTTTTCTAAGGTGTTACCAACACCTGCAAATAACAATGTCATTTCTCTATTTTTTTCTTTTCCTTTTTTTAAAAAATAATTTTCTTTGTATTTTTTGCTGCACTGGGTCTTTGTTGCTGCACAGGCTTTTCTTTAGTTGAGGCAAGTAGGGGCTTCTCACTGTGATGGCTTCTCTTGTTGCTGAACACAGGCTCTGGGGCACATGGGCTTCAGCAGGTGCAGCAAGTGGGCTCAGGAGTTGCAGCTCTTGAGCTCTAGAGCATGAGCTCAATAGTGGTGGCACATGGGCTTAGGTGCTCCACAGCACGTAGGATCTTCCTAGACCAGGGATGGGACCCATGTCTCCCACACTGGCAGGCAGAGTTCTTCACCACTGAGCACCAGGGAAGCCCTTTCCTATTTTTTAATACTTATAGCTCTCATTTCTTTTTCTTATATCATTGTGTTAACTAGAACTTCCCAACTGGCCTTGAATGAAGCTGAGGATGTGGGAAGATGACATTCCTTGATGCTAAATCAACATGACTTTCTTCTACAAATTAATGTTCAGCTCATGTTATTCTATAAAGTCAGTGCCGTCCCCAAGTGATGAGGGACAAGGTGGGTGAGGATCATCTCGGAACGCTGCTAGGACACAGCAGCAAGGATAAGTGAGTCAGAGAACGCAGGAAGAGAAAGGGGTGTGGGGTGACAGACTGACCCGGCCTCCCAGACAGTTACACGCACTATGAAGCTGCCATAATTAGAGCCACAGAGACCATGAAAAGCAGCAGATGGACTGATGACACAGAACACAGCCCAAGAACTGGCCCAAGTATTGGTGGCGTCTATAGATATTAAGGGAGAACGCCAAAAAGGGAAAAGACAGACTACAAAATAAGCAATCTGAGATAACTGACCAGCAGTCCACAAAGAGGCTCATTCCTACCTCTCGCCTCCATCCAAGCAAATGGATTATATCTACATAATAAAATAAAAAACGTAACTTATAGAAACTTTTTAGATTATCTCTTACTTTTAGTATAAAAAAAAAAAAGAGGTGAATTTATGTCCTTCAACTGGGGAGATCTTAAATATGACATAAACCCTAGAAGAAGTTAACAGCAAAGACTTAAAGTTCTGACTGTAAACATTCAAATCCGATGTGCAGGGTCTTCCCTGGTGGTCCAGAGGTTAGGACTCTGAGCTTCCACTGCAGGGGGCTCAGGTTCAATCCCTTAAGATTCTGCCAGCCAAGCAGCCAAGCCAAATTGAACAAAAACAAAAAGCTGATGTGCAGCAAAAAATATACCAGAAAAGAAGTCATGGAAAATTAAGAAAAAATTATTTGCAAAAATACTAAAAGGGAATAATTTCCTCACACATAGTACCAACACAGCACAAAGACAAACTGAAAAACAGACAAAGGCTGACAAAGACACTCAGTCAATGTGTAAAAAGGTGCTTATGGTTAGGAAGTACTTTTTTTCTCAGCTATCAGAGAACAAAGATTCAATTTTTATTATTTCTAATGATCCCAAAGATGAGAAGTCTAGCAGTCTTATAGACTGCTAAATGGAATGTAAACCAGTCCTTATCAACTAACAAATACATAAAACCTTTAACCCAATAATTCAACAGTTAAGGATTTACCCACAAAAGTATACCAAGACACAAAACATTCACTGCAGCATTGTTTGCAATTTCAAAAAATTAGAAACCACCTAACATGTTGATCAATTTGGGCTGGTTAATGCAATGCTGGCATGTACGCATGGTTACAAAGGATGAGGAGGGTCTCTACTGTGCTGAGGCAGGACAGATACGTGAGAAAGGTCCCATGAAGAACAGCACAGAAAGGGTGCTCCCGCTGCATACACTCTTCGCCTCTACATGAAGGACCCTTGTGGTGATGCTCTCAAAGTACCTACCAGACTACAAAACGGGGGGACTTTCACTCATCCTCTCTACCCTTTAAACATGAAGTATGAACTACACTTCTATTCTTAGTTTGGGCTTCCCTGCTGGCTCAGATGGTAAAGAATCCTCCTGCAATGCGGGAGACCTGGGTTTGATCCCTGGGTTGGGAAGATCCCCTGGAGGAGGACATGGCAACCCACACCAGTATTCTTGCCTGGGGAATCCCCATGAACAGAGAAGCTTGGTGGGCTACAGTCCATGGGTTTGTAAAGAGTCAGACATGACTGATCGACTAAGCACATTTTTAGTCTAAGTGTTTCTGCTTGCTTGTTTCATTTTTTAATTTGCTGCACTGGGTCTTAGTGGCACATGAGATCTGTGGTCGCACCCTGCGGGACTTGTGTTGCAGTGTACAGACTCTCTAGCTGTGGTACGCGGGCTCTATCGTTGCAGCTCAGGGGCTTAGTTGCCTGAAAGCACGTGGGGTCTTAGTTGCCTGAACAGGGATCAAACCTACGTCCTCTACACTGCAAGGCGGATTCTTAACCACCAGACCACCAGGGAAATCCCATGTACATATAATTTTTAAAGATGGGAAATGATGTTAAATTTCACCCTGAACTCCTGACACATTAACTGCCTAATGCTGGATGACCCAGGCAGAGCTTGGACTTGCGGTGCAAACCTGAGAAGCAGGTTGTGGACAGGACGGGGCACATGTACACTGGCTGGTCTGTATCTTGGTTCTGCTACTTTGCTGCTAAGTAACCTCTGGCAAGTTCCTTACCTGCCCGAGTCTCACTAAAAATCTGTGGGGAAATTAACATTGCCCGGTGCACATAACTCCTGACTACTGACTGTCACTGTAAGGTTTTCTGACAGGCCGTCTGGACAGATGCCTGAATGCCCCTGACTGGGTGGGAGCTTCAATCAGTTCAGAGCCTGGTGCTGGCTCTTCCAGTCTGTTTACATTGGCTTTGGAGCAGTGACACTTGAAGAGCCAAGGTCCTCTCTGGGGAAAACAAAGGGTCAACCCTGATGAGGACTTGTCACAACTAAATCATTCAGTGAAAGTGTTTTGTTTTTTTAAAACGTGTATTTTGTTAGTTCATTTAGTTTCAAATTCCTTTAATTTGAAATTTCTCAAGTTCATGATAAACTTGGATTAAGACTGAAGTGAACCTTCACACATGCCTTTCCTAGATTCACTTGACTGATTAAAAATATTGTTTTCATTAGTATCCTAATGAGGGTTTCATACCTGAATAAAACCGATTTTAGCAAAGCTTATGTACATACTTCAGAGAAGGCAATGGCAACCCACTCCAGTACTCTTGCCTGGAGAATCCCATGGACAGGGCCTGGCGGGCTGCCGTCTATGGGGTCGCACAGAGTCAGGCACGACTGAAGCGACTTAGCAGCAGCAGCACGCACATACTTTGGAAAAGGAAATGGCAATCCACTCCAGTATTTTGCTCTGAGAATCCTATGGACAGAGGAGTCCACGCGGTCACCAAGAACTGGACATGACTGAGTGACTAACACACATGCACAAACTTGCCATGTGTGTGACATGCCACACAGTCTAACACTGTACAGCAAAGCTCAGTAGAAACTCTATCACCTACACAATAAACAAGCCAAAGCCAGGACCGGCTGCTCGAGTACAGAGAGCAGTTACACCCACATGTTTGCCGCCTCTGCTTTTCTAATGGCAGATTTAGACATAAAACATGCCTGTCTGGAGGGAAGAAGGACCAGAAGGGTGGGAACCAGAGCTTGTGGAATCTCCTCAAAGGGTGGGAACTGCGTGAGAAAGATGATCTTTGTAGAGACACACACAAGCCCATCCCAGCAAAGAGAAATAAACAGCAGATCCTAGAATTATGTCTGACTGTCTGCTGTTTTTTCCATTAGCTGGTTCAAAAGAGGGAGACTCACTCTTTCCTGCTGGCGTTTCACCCTGTACTGTTTGAGCTGTTCTTCCAGCCGCTTCCGAGCCTGCAGTCGGACCTGCTCCTCCTTCTCCAGGGGCAGCGAAGCCTCTGTTGAGCCTGAGGTCGGGAAACAGCCATTTAGAAACTCACAACGTAACAGGGCACAGAAGACAAATCAAAACAGCAGCTTGGCTGTCTTGAGTTTTATTACCGATATGATTTAGCTTTAAATAACACATGGCTGTCTAGTTTGAAAGAACTGTTTGCAGATGAGAGAGAACTGTAAGCCTTGGACAGTGACCACAGACAGGACCCACCTCGGGGCAGACACAATGGCCCAGCACAGGGGTGGTGCCTCCACCAGCAGCACACTGCCACCTATGGGCATCCCGCCAGTAAAACAGGACATGTGCCAACGTGCGCCTTTTAGTAATTCAAGAACTGAACTTGAAGCTGGTGCCAGTGTGAGTGTTCTGAGGCTCCCACCAAGCTCTAACTCTGCTTCCTTACATTACAGAGGAACATGAACAGCAATCCTGATGGAATGACAGGCAGCAGAGGCGAACAGGAACATGCTACCAAAACTCGCCTTCTTTACCCAGTAACATCCCAGCAGATTACCTCAGTTTTCTACCCGAGGCGACTCCAGTCCAGAGGCCATGCTCAAGGACAAGACGGGGACTACTCTTGACAACTTTTGGGCAACTAACAAAATTTAAAATATCTAAAACCCAAACTTTCACTTTGGGTATAAAAAAAGCTGAACAGTGAGTGAAAGGTAGGCAAGACCCAGGTCTCCCAGCTCAGGGCCAAGGGGCTGGTGAGAGCAGAGAAATGCCGTTAACTGAGCCCCTTCCTGGGCAGCACCATCCTTAATTATGAATTCTGGGAGGGAAGCTGCTGTTGTTTTAAATAATCCCTAAAACCTGAGCAGTCGCCAAGAATTTCACTAGGAATTCACCAGCGTTGTTACTGACTGTGCACTCATACTCTTCATATAAGTTTCATATGAAAGAGCTTAGATACTTTTCACATCACTAAGTGGTCCAGATGGCAGAGACCACCAGAGGCATGGCCTCAGGGCTGGGCACATTCCTGGGAGGGGCGGGCAGGGGAAGAGCAGGAGAACCTGGGCCAGAGCTCACAAACTCCTCAGGTCAGGACCCAGGATTTCACACAGCATCTGGGCTGACATGCTAACAGTTTGTTTATAGAAATGTTTAAAGTATACTATGATCCTAACAGCATAATGAAATTATTCCTGCGAACACCCTCTAGTGAGCATGAGAGTACAAGTTGCAAATGAAAGCATCAAGGCAGCATTACTGCACACCCAGCAGACTGGTGAAGACCAAAAGGAAACAGCATCTTTGTCCTCTCACAGGGCATCAGCACCCTTGCAATGTGACCACCCATGATGGAGATAGACACACCCACTGCTTCTGACCAAGAGTTCTGCCCCTGGGATGGAGGGCATAGAAATGAAAACACCAGTGCTGCAACATGCACGGGGAGATGCTCACTGCAGCACTGGTCCCCTGGCCCTGACTTGGCCATGCTCAGGGCTCCTCCAGCCTTTAAAGAATGGACATGGAGCTGCACCAGGTGACGCGGGGCAATCGCCAGGTGACAGCGCTGGGTGAGAAGAGCACGCATCGATGTGAAGGACACGGGCCCACTTTAAGAACAATGATCGTCCAAACCTGGCTGTTTTCAGAGGCCTGTAAGGGACCATGTAAGAAGGTGGCTGACCCAGAGGGGAGGGGGAGAAGTACTGAAGCGGGGACGAGATATAACAACAGCAGCTGTGAACTGACCCCATCAGGTAAGATTACACAAGTCTGTGTGTGAAAACTTGCATGTTAGAAAAGCCTGGAGGCTTCAGGGCTCTCAGGCTGACAGTTCGCAACTTGTTTGCCGCTGAATCCCCAGGGATTAGCACAAAATAAAGGCTGATTAAAGTAACTCATAAAAGAAAGCCTTCAAGCTGTAACTGTTAAGATCAAATCCCCACTGCTGCTTGCTCACCACCCCTGGTGATGGAAGACACGCACGCACAGGCCCTTCAAACTTGGGTCTCAAGTGCCGCTGTCACCATCAGGCTGTGACAAAGCATATCTTCCCTCTGAAATGGAGCTATTTGTTAAACGCACAACCCACCACGGTGATAAAACAGCAATGGCAGAGGGGCGAGCCCTTCAGGGCCTGTGCCTTTCAAGGACGGTGAGTGACAGGGGCCCGGGGGGTGGGATGCGGGATGAGGGGGTGGGGGAGAGCCCGGCAGGAAGATGCTTACACAGTTGCGTTTCTTGCATAGGAAGACTGAGTCTGAGGGACTGCAAAGCTTCTTTTCTAACAATGCCCTCAGCACTAGTCCCCTGAGACTTCCTTAGGTTGTCATGGAAACCAGCCACACCTGGAGACGCATCAGGACCCGCTGGCGAGGGAGGCTCTGGGAACTGTGGTGTCGGCCCATTCAGACAGGTATCCCCCTGGTGTCCTTCATCTGAAGTTCTGTTTACCTTGGCACTGGCACCTGGAAAAGAGGGTGCGTTTTAACAGCTAAAATAGGACAAGAGGGAATCTAGACATGGGAGCACTCTCCACATCTCAGGAATCTGCTCACTCTTCAAGGACAGCAAGCCTGTCCTTCCAAAGGGCAGGTGATGTGGGACAAGTAACTCAACCTCGCAGAGTAATACCCTCACCTGCAGGATGCCCTCCTCACCTTCCAAACTACAGCTGTAGAATTTCAGTAGTCATGCTTCCTTTTCATTTAAAAAAGACCAGTAAGAAATCTTATGAAAGTCTGTTCTTAAAAAAATAGCAAAAAAAACCTCTACAAATCCTTAAAACGTGGCCAACAATGTTTCTAATGAGCACTGTTAACAGCAGTACTAACCAGTGTCACAGCCTCACATTTACAAAAGGCTGGTTCCAAAGTTATTTCAAGGCATAAGTTTATCATCCAAAATGAGACATCAAAGGTGAAGAGTTAGAACAGCTGATAAGAACGATTACCCCAAAGCTGAGGACAGAACCCAGAGTCTATGCTTCTGACTGACAAACACCTAACGGGTAAAAACCCAAGTTAACCAGTGATGACTGTTCACCCGCGTATCAAGCTCAGTCTCCTCTACTAACATTACTACAAGTTACCTACACACGAACTGAAACCTACTTTTGTATCAAAAGGAAAGTGCTCTCCCCCTGACGGGCAGCCAGTTGGCAGCCAACGAGTCGAGGAGATACATGGAGGGGCTCCCAGGCACATTCCGGGGGCTCCCAAGCACTGCAGTGCCCCAGGTCTCCATAAGGTTAGCACCACTTGGTTCTCATGATGTACCAAGTATGCAACTAGGAAATTCCCTCTGTACCCAAGCAAATTGAAAATGGGTTTCTGTCACTTGAAATGTGAGTCCCAACTAACATAGCCACTTACTGTCAGGCCCCCCTGAAAGGAAAACTAGAATATAAAGTAGGGGGAAGGGGGCAGACATAAGACAGAGTGGGAGGACCCCACCACAGCTCTGACACAACCATCTGTTCTCTTACACAAACAGCTGAGGTGAGGGGTGGGGTGGGAGTGGGGAGGAAATCGTGCATTTCAGATGCAAGTTAATCAGGTCAATATCATTTCCTGATGGGTTTATCAAATCTGGGAGAGTCTCTAAAGCATCCTGCTTACATACGAAAGTAATTACTTGAGTGTCACACTGCACTTTAAAAAAAATCTAAAAGAAACCCTAATAAATAATAAGACTTGATTGTTTCCAAACACAAGCCTTATTATGGATAAACAAATAATGATGACAAAAAAACTGGCCAGCCCCACCTCCTGGGTGCTTCCCAAGGGCTCACATTTCACATGGGCCTTCACCACCACCCTAAGATGCAGGGTGGAGAAGGAAATGGCAACCTACTCCAATACTCTTGCCTGGAGAATCCCTTGGACAGAGGAGCCTGGAGCGCTACAGTCTATGGGGTCACAGAGTCAGACATGACTGAGTGACTGACACACACAAGATGCAGGGGCCATTCATCTTTCCATTTTCCCAGTAAGAGCGCGAGGTGGAAATACATTAAGGATCGTGGTTAAGGGCTCATTCCTGTTAGCAGCAAACCTTGGAGTTGTTCCAACTGCAGAATCCTTGATCCTGGGCCAAGCCGCATCGGCCTCACCTGGCACTTAAGGAACAGGAAGCAGCAAAGCCATTTCAGGTGCCTGAGCACTGTTTTCCCAGAAGGGAAACGCAGTTTCTGCTAGTAAATCAGTGTATACACATGTTACAATGTTTAAGCACACACTGCCCAAGAAGGGGCATGAGGAAGCAGTCATTCATTCTGTGCTTCCAACACACGAGTAACCCACTAGCTAACATGGAAATATGATCCCGTAATCCTCAGATCACTAGTGGCACACTTTCCAGTTAGTAGAAATCCGACAACCAACCAACCAAAAAGGTAGAATGTTAGGCAGGGGACAGTGATGAGTCAGTGAAGATCTGCATAAGCCTTATGGGTAAACCATGCTGCTCCATCCCTCTGGAGCAGAAAGCCCCAGAAAGTTCCCATTTCATTTAACACACATGGTGTTTGAGTCAAAGTTGGCCTCAACTAAAAAAAAAATACATAAAAACACACTCTGAATGAATTATAAAGTTCAGTAAGCTCTTAGACACCACTGTCTTCTTCCAAAAGGCAAGACGACCCGTTCTCCTGTTTAAAGGTAAGGTGTGAGCAGAACACAGAGTAACTGGCAACTTACACTGGGCTTCGTCCCACTGGTCCAGCGGCGCCAGTGAGCCAGGGGGCTTTGGGGGGCCCTCAGGCTGACCCGAGGTGCCACGGCCGGATCTGTCCTCCACCAGGCCCTCCCGCACAGCCGCAGCGCTGTCCATGGTCAGGGCGACACGGGCTGGGCTGACACTCAGAGGCTACAAGTGAGCTGGGAGCGAGTTCAGCTTCTGCCATTAGCAACAGCCAAAAGCTCCTGGGACGGACCACACTGGGTTTGCCATTTTGGGGAAGAGATTTACAGTCTCACAGATGGCCTGAAATCAAACCCGGTAATACCATGCATGATACCTGACAGGAATAAAAAGAGAAAGAAGGTATTATGAAACTTCATTTGTCAGATTTGAAGTAACAAGTCCAAGACTAACATTTGGTTCCCAACATGCATCTGTATAATAAATATATTCATACAACAAATAATCTTTGAGCACCTACAGCATCCTATTTTTCGAGGATAAAAAACTGACCCAAACCCATTTGGCCCATCCCTGAAGGCCATCTGCACTGATGACTGCTGAAAACCATCCCCCACCAGGGTGAGAAGCTCCTCCATCAACAATGTAATCCGCAGAGCTGGGAGTGGGGCTTGGATGACTGAGGAGCGGAGTCTTTATTTATTTAAACTTAACTGACTTGTATGTAAACAGCGCATGTGGCCAGCGGCTTTAGTATTGGACACAGAGGCCCAAGTGCTCAGAGGGGTCAAAGGGTGAGGTCCTCTCCCAGGAGACCCGGCAGGTCAAGAGCCCAGGCCATGTCTCAGAGCCAGAGGTCAACAAGGAAGACCTAACAGCATGGAGCATGGTAAACTGGACACTAACGGAGGAAGCACGGGGGGGGGGGGGGTGGGGGGGACGAGGACACAGGGAAAACAGCCACTGGGGGTATGGGGGGCAGAGAAAGGACCTCATGCAGGTGACCACACACATTCTTCATTTCTCACAAGATCTGCTATCTTTCAGCTTGTTCTGCCAAGCTGAATTGAAGGGAGCCCAAAGCCTGGCAACTGGTTACTGCTTTTGAAGTGTAATGAGGATATTATCACCTCGTTTCCTCCTCAACAGATAAGGTGCTGCTGTTATTCTGCAGAAATGGTAGCATTTACTTCCTTGAAGATAAGACTTCATATTATCCTATGTACTGTTTGGTGTTTCACAGGTTCCAGGACAAAAATTTATGGGACTTTCCTCCGCAGCTTCCAAACGCCACATAGATGTTTTTGAAAAGAGCCTAAGCAACAGCTGACTGTCACTGGACGATCCTGTTTCTCCACAGTTCTCTGTCTCCCTGTCACCCATGAACAGGCAGCCCTTAGTGGCTGACACAACATGTGAACACCTAGTGATGGGAACCCAGCAGTGCTTGGCCTACAGCTTCAATCACCTACACATTTTGCTCAGGTGTCTAGCACCTGACAGGCCAGCAACATCATGGATTAATAAGTGTTGTTATGAATATAAAAAGGCTATGCTGACTTTTTGGTGGCATCATGGCTTGCAGGATCTTAGTTCCCCAACCAGGGATTGAACCCAGGTCCTCAGCACTGAAAGTATGCAGGCCTAACCAGTGGACTGCTGGAGGATGTCCTATGTCTACTATTAAGTGCAGAGCTAGTACTAAGACTGTACTTGAAAGGACCACAGATAGAATTGCGTGGAAACATGAGTAGCTACAATCCAATGTAGTTAATCAATAAGCACGGGGTGCTGCTGGCTCATGGTGCCTGGTGCGAGGAAATATTTGAGGACTGAAATGATGTCTGAAGGGAGGTACCAAAGTCAACCAAACATGATCCTATGTGCAATGAGGTCTCAACTTAGTTTCTGTCTCTACAATATTTGGTAATCTCTTTCATCCACAGAGACACTTTCCAGGTTGGAGGGCGGGTAGACAAACAGGCCAGTCCACAGGTCCCTCTGAAAATCACCATCTCACAGGGACCTGGCTGCACATGACACCACTGTGACACCTGCTGAGCCTGCCCTCACTCCATGGGCACAGCTGGTGGTAAGCTGGCCAGAGTGACACCACAGAGGAGGTGATGCCCGAAAGGCCAGGCAAGGGCACACCCAGGCTGTCCCCTTATTGCAGGCTTCACTTCACAGACAGGTGACTACAGATGGTTGGGCTGGGACACACACAGTGGGCTGTGGAATCAACTGTCCCTGCCTATGGTGTACGGTATGTGCTGGCCATCCTGAGATGCTCCTTAACAAAGGAAGACATTTGCATTTTGCTTTGAAATGTCTTTGTTTCTGTCTTGTGGGGGTGGGGTGAAGCTGCCTACCCCATCACATGCTCCCTAAGATGCCTGCCTGAGAGGGTAACAACAGATAAGTGCTTTTCAGAGTTGGTCCCTTTGTTGCCAATGCCCTCTTCCCTTTGACCGCCAGGCAAATTCCCCTGGATCCTTCCATGTCTGCCATTAGGCACTGCTCTCAAGTCTTCTGGGTCTCAGGTAAAGCACTCCTCCCTGCCATCATGATACCCCTGCACGCATCAGTTCAGTTCAGTTGCTCAGTTGTGTCCGACTCTTTGCGACCCCATGAACCGCAGCACGGCAGGCCTCCCTGTCCATCACCAACTCCCGGAGTTTACCCAAACTCATGCCCATTGAGTCGGTGAATATCACTCCGCAATTGCGTGTGTGCCTATCTCTTCCATCACCCTGTAAGATCCTAGACACAGAAATCACCATTCCAGGTCTGCCCCTACCCCCTCGAACATCCCCTACACAGAGTGGTGATCAATGCAGGCTACTGACAAATAAGTCTCTGCCTCCACCACCAATAAGTCACTTGCCTCCACCAAGTCCTAGCCCTTAGCAACCAAGCTAGTGCTTCAAAAACAAAATGATACAGTATTTGCAACCTTGAATATCCACAATGCTTAGTCAAATATAGAATAACTCTACTACTCAACGCAGTTAGGAGTCACAGTTCTGGGAGGGCAAAGAACACCTGGGAGCTACAAACTGGGAGAGCAGCATGTAAATGGCCACAGGTCAGAGAAGCATCTAAGGAGCCACAGGGAATGTGTTACTGAGGCAAGCAGTGACAACACCTGACCCTGACACTATGCAGGAAAGAGAGCACTGGCCGAGATGTTTCTGTCCACTGAGGAAGGTACACCAAAGACAGAGAGAAATGTGTCAGGCTGTTTGAGCCTAATACCAATGCACAGTCCGTGCATTTGCTTGCTTTTATTTGGATTTCTTGCTAAACAAGAAGTCTTCTGATTCCCAAGGAGCCCTAACTGCCCCCCCCAGCCCCACCCCTTGAGATGAGTGGTGCAGCCCTGGAGACCCTGTGACTGTGACTTGTTCTGGTAACTTATGAAGGTGGCTCCTGTTCACACACAGCTCTGCCAGAAGCCAGACAAGAGACGGGATTCACAGAACACCAGAAGCAGTCTCTGGGGAAGGGACATGTCTCCCTATCCATAATACACTGGCATTCTCCAAGTATCCTCAGCCTCATGTGAATTTTACTTAGCATGACTCAGTCATCCAGGCCTCATTATTTCAGACTGCTGACAAAAACAGGACAAGGAGGGTTACACAGCTGGGAGTACATCACAAGGAAGCTGTTATTAGTAACATGCACTCCATTTTGTGATTTAAAAAAACAGAGATCAGTCTAATCAGAGTACCATTTCTGACCACCTGCATTCTGTGTTTCCTGGAGGGAAGAGATAAGCAAACGTAGGTATCACTTAGAACTTCAGAAAGTATGTAACTCTAGGTTCACTGCTGTCTGACATTAAGAGACTTCAGATTGAGAAACTACCATCTCAGGAAACTATGTGATCTCCAACTTCCCCCAGACAGCAGATTACTTAGATCTGGTATAAGCACATCAACAGGTCCATCTACTCCATCTTAAGATGTTCCTACTGGCAATTTAGAAACATCAGAGCATGGGAATTCCATGGCGGTCCAGTGGTTAGGACTTTGCTCTTTCATTGCTGAGGTCATAGGTCTGATCCCTGCCTGGGGAACTAAGATCCCGCAAGCCATGCAGCACGTCCCAAACAAAAAAAGAAACAACAGAGCATTGCCGAAGTGAAAACCCAGAAAGCCTCATGTCACCGCAGAGCAGTGTAATGTAAAGAATAGACTCAGGCACCAGACATCTTGGCCTCAGGTCCTGAGTCCTCCACACTCAGCTGTGAGACCATGGGCAGATTTCTTAACCACTCTTAGATGCTGATCCCATCAGTAAGATGATGAGAAAAAGACCAAAAAACCTGTGCCAGGATTAAGTGCAACAAGGCACACGCCCCATGACTTCAATAAAGACAGTTGTTATTATTAGTGTTACCTTTTCCTTCAATTGTTGCTTGTCAAAATCAACAGGCAAAAGCCAACTGAAGATATTCTCATTCAAGAAAGTATACTGCTTGGATAAAGATGGTGTACACACACACACACACTCTGTGATATTACTCAGCCATAAAAAAGAACGCAATTTTGCCATTTGTGACAACATAGATACACGTGAAGAGCATTATGCTCAGTGAAAGAAGTCGGACAGAAAAAGTCAAATACTGTACGTTATCATTGTGGAATCTAAAAAACAGAATAAAACAAAAAAGAAACAGACTCAGAGATACAAACTACTGGTCACCAGAGAGGAGAAGGAAAGGGGGATCGGCAAAGTAGATAAAGGGGATTAAGAGACACTAGGTATAAATAAGTTACAAGGATGCAATGTACAGCACAGAGAATACAGCCAGTATTTTATAATAACCTTGTATGGAATGTAGAGTGTAATCTACAAAAACATCAGGACCCTGGTCGTCCAGTGGTTATGACTCATGCTTCCACTGCAGGAGGCACGGATTCGATCCCTGATTGGGGATCTCACACGCATGTCTCAGGGTGTGACCCAAAAAAACAAGAAAATTTAAAAAAAAATCAAATTACTATGTTATTAGCCTGAAACTAACATAAGATTGTAAGTTAACTACACTTAAAGTTAAAAAACTATACTGCGGCTTAAGGCAATGGGCTTAAAAAAAAGGCTACTTTAGAATCTGAGTAATGTCAGATGATTTTTATTTCCTTTTCTTGCCATTCAAGGTCCATTGTAACTGAAGGCCA